ATTATTTTCTCACTATTGTCGATGACCATTCTCGTGCAGTTTGGGCTTATTTGATCATTGATAAATCTGAAGTACCTAGTTGTTTGAAACAATTTTTTTCCATGATACAGACCCAATTTCATAAAACCATAAAAATTGTTCGTTCTGATAATGGCACCGAATTTGTCAATCAAGACCTTCGGTCATATTATGCCACTTTAGGTGTTCTTGTTCAAACTTCTTGTGTAGTTACTCCACAACAAAACGGTCGGGTAGAACGAAAACATAGACACATATTAAATGTCGCCCGCTCCCTTATGTTTCAAGCTCACTTACCTATTGAATTCTGGGGGGGAATGTGTTCGTACTGCTGTTTATTTAATTAACCGTACTCCCAACAAACTACTTGGTGGTAAGTCTCCATTTGAAGTTCTAAATCACAAAGCACCAGATCTTAGTCATCTTCGAATTTTTGGATGTCTATGTTTTGTACGACTCAGGACATCCAACAAATTTGTTCCTCGAAACACCAAGTGCATGTTTGTTGGGTACCCCTTCGGCACAAAAGGTTGGCGTGTGTATGACCTTGATACTCATCGTTTCTTTCACACTCGGGACATTGCTTTTGACGAGAGCACGTTCCCGTTTGCCGCACATCACACGCCGGCCGAACCCTCTACCTCCACCCCACATGCCGACTTTCCCGAATTACCCCTGCCCGCCCCACTTCCGGCTGCCGTCGTTAACGACCAGCCTATCCAGCCGACAGTTGCCACCGAGCAGCCCACCGACGCCCAGCCCCACCCCCATACAGCCACCGCCCCTCCGCTTCGTCCTCAACGGCAGCGTCGTCAGCCATCCCATCTTAGTGATTACATCGTCAATTCTGTTCAAACTCCCGCTCCATTGTGCTCATTACCTTCCCAGTCGTCGTCTTCAGGTACACGTTATCCTATTGCCAACTTTGTTTGTTATCATAAATTGCATGACAGGTATCGAGGATTTCTTGGCGCCATCAGCCCTCATTTTGTTCCTAAAAATTACTCCGAGGCAGTCCCACACGCCAATTGGCGTGCGGCAATGGACACGGAGCTCCGAGCTTTGGTGAATAACAACACTTGGGAAATCTCAGACTTGCCCCCGGATCGGACAGCTTTGGGCTGCCAATGGGTCTTCAAGACCAAGTTTAATTCGGATGGCACTAAAGAACAGGACAAGGCCCGTTTGGTTGTTCTTGGAAATCATCAGACCTTGGGGGTGGATTACACTGATACTTTTGCCCCGGTAGCAAAAATGGGGTCTGTTCGTGTTTTACTCTCTGTAGCCGCGGCAAAAGGATGGGAGGTGCACCAACTCGATGTTAATAATGCTTTTCTTCATGGTGATCTGATTGAGGAAGTATACATGCGGCTGCCACCTGGACTTTCTCAGCTATATCCAGGCAAGGTTTGTCGACTACACAAATCTCTTTATGGTTTGCGTCAGTCCCCCCGAAACTGGTTCGGGAAGCTCACTTGTGCCCTTCGGCGATACGGGTTTCGTCAGGCACATGCAGATCACACTCTCTTTATTCATCGTCGAGGATCTGACATTTTGGTTGTCTTGGTTTATGTTGATGACATCTTGGTTGCAGGTAACAACCCCACATTATGTGCTTCT